GTTTCACAGTTGGTCACTTCCCTCCTGCCCCTCCCCCCGCAGCGCGTTTTATCTCCTCCAAACCGGCGTGAAACAGCCTCGGGCCCTTCCCGAAGGCGTCTCCGGGGTGAGTTTCGGCCCGCGCGGCGCCCTGCGGCGGGGAACCAGCGCCCCCGGGTGCCCGCGCCTTAGGACCGGGCCACTAACATAGACCCAGGTGCTCCCAGTCACTTCCAGTTGATCCCAGCATGAGCTCTGTTGCTCACAGCCACCATCAGTGTGCTCCCAGTATGGTCCCAGGCACCGCCAGCATGACCCCACTCCCTCCCAGTACATGCCGGTTCCCCCAACGTAATTCCAATCCTTCCTAGCATGTGTCACCCCAGGGCCAGACTCCGGCACAGGCGAGTGTTTTGCTGTTTAATTACCTGACAACTTCTGCCTCTAAGCAACGAGTACCACGTTACCACCCTCAAGGAATGTCTTTAATTGCAGGAGGAAGATTCGGAACGTCTCAGTGCAGCATTCGCTTCAATTGTGAAGTTGATGAATCAAGCCTCAAAGGAATGCAAGGTGAGGTTTCACCCCTAGCCCCATGCAAAGAGGAGCAGTTATGATGTGCCTGTTTGCACTGTTTTCACTAATGCTGGAAAAATTAGACTTCAGTTTTGCTTATTGCATGGCATGAGTTTAACCAGTGAGCCTGTGAGCTTAGATTAAGAAATTTGGGGCATTTGCCATCAAGTGGGAGGTTTCACCAGTGTTATCCTGACCAGCTGGTACCACCTGAGCGGATAAACACCACTATCAGCATTTTCCACACACAGTACCATAAACCCAGCACAGATGTTAGCAGAGGGTTTCTGCAGTTCTTGGTGGAAAGGCAATACAGTTAGAGCGGCAGAAATGTCAGGTGATCTCAGCAGTTACACTGTGTCAGACACCACATTTGTGTGTCACAATATATGGAGTGTTTCCAGTGCTGGGAAAGTACCTCTGTCCTGGAGTGGCTTTAGGACATGGTAACCATTTGTTTCCATCAGGCCAACATGAACCCCTCATGCTGACTGATAGTGGACATAAGGGAGAGTTTGAATCTGAGGCAAAGAGATTGCTTTGTATGACACAAAAGCCTTTGGTCTAAGTTTAGAGTTAACCTCCCCAGTATTGTTGTGATTTAAACCCAGACAGCAACTAAGTACCGTACAGCTCTCTACCTCCCTGTCCCACTCCCCTGGTGGGTTGAGGAGGAGAATCAGGAGAAAATAAAAGTAAAACTCATGGGTTAAGAACAGTTTAATAATTGAAACAAAGTATAATACTAAATTCAATAACAATTTTAATGAATCATAGAATAGTTTGGGTTAGAAGGGACCCCAAAGACCACCCAGTTCCAACTCCTCTGCCAAGGACACCTTCCACTAAACCACTAGAATGGTTTGAGTTGGAAAGGACCCCAAAGACCATCCAGTTCCAACCCCTCTGCCAAGGACACTTTCCACTAGACCAAGTTACTCAAAGCTCTCTCCAGCCTGGCCTTGAAGACTTCCAGGGATGGGGGAATGTTAAATTTTACAAACTCAGGTAGTCAAATTAATGAATCTGCTATAACTTTGGGAAAGCTGCAGACACTGTTCAAATAGAGAAGTAAGCAATAGATGGATGGCATTAAGCTCCACATTGATTAAAATAATGTAGGAGATATATTTGCATACAATGATAAGGAGAGCAAGAAAACCCAAGAAGAACAAGTGATGCACAATACAGTTGCTCACCACCCACTGACCAATGCCCAGCCAGTCCCTGAACAACAGTCAGCCCCACCCAGACAACTCTCCCAGTTTATATACTGACAGTGAGTGTCTGTGGTATGGAATATCATTTTGGCTAGTCTGGGTCAGGTGTCATGACCGTGCTCCCTCCCAGCTTTTTGTGCACCTGCCTGCTGGTAGAGCATCACACACTGAAAGTCCTTGACTTAGGGTAAGCACTACTCAAAAAAAATCAAAGCATCAATTTCTTATGAATGTTACACCCATACCAAATCCAAAATACAGCATTGTACCAGCTATTAAGAAAACTAACCCCATCCCAGATAAAATCAGATCAAACTCAATTTGGGATGTTGCTGCTGGATAAGGAGTGTGGGCTCAGTTCTGAACAGCACCATATCTTTGTGCTAAGTAGAAATTGATAGGTATTGCATACAGATGAACAGCTCCACTGCTTCCATCCTGGCTCTGACTGCGAGGTGTCATTACCAGGTGGACAGACCAGGAGCTGATCTCTGCCAGCTCATCCTTGTGGACACAGCCCTGCAGCCCAACTGGTGCCCTGAAAGTCTCTGAAAACTCCATCACAGCTTACATCAGCTGTGCCCTTCGGGATCTGTTATCATAACGCAGCAGGGAGCTCATTGTCTGCAAAGTTAATAACAGAGATTAAGTCTGCAATTAAATTAGAGAAACAGTAGTTCGACACGTCAAATGATTAGCTCTTAAGCAACTCTTATAATTTCAAAACACTACATACACAGTGACAGTTAGTCCTAAAACAATTCAGGCAGAATAGAGTTTCACACAAGATGAAACAGAAATATAAGTCTATAGAGACTCTTCCTTTGTGGTGGACTTGGCAGTGCTAAATTTACAGTTGGACTCTATTATGTTAAGGGTCTTTTCCAACCTAAATGATTCTATGGGTCTACCTTATGCCCTGTTGTATTAGAGTTGGAACAAGCAGTGGATGACTTTCACATTTGTGCATCAGCCAAGACAGTACTGCTTCAGTCAACTGTAGAGAAGAGTCATAAAAGGAGGGAATTGTCAGACCCACAAGGTCATAGATAGAGTTTACAAACTGCAAGTAAAACTTCACAGCTGAACATAACCATTAGGCACTTGAATGCAAATGATTAAAATTGTGATTGAAGATGCGTTGGAGTTACTAAGGGACCAAGGTTTACCCACATTTCTCACCAAAAGTCTGATTTCATTTCTTTGCTCTGTGTCACCACGTAAAAGAACCCAGCTCACCTCCTGTGACACAGAGATGGTCTGTGAAGCATTATGCAGTAGGTCAGAGCATTTGATGTATTTTGGGATGTAGCTCCACAGAAACAACACAAGCAACCAGATCCGTTGTCTTGTGGTTAAGCTCAAGGAATTAGGCACAGAAGTAGATCTGGAAATAAGAATTGCTCTTGGCCTTATTTTTTTTATGTGAACTTTTTGGTCACATCAAAAAGGTAACCCTGAGAGGAGTTCTCTGGTGACAATAGATGGCAGCAGCAGAGCTGTACTCAAATATCTAATTTGCAGTGGGGAAGATTCTAGTACCTTTGCAGAGGAACCAGAAGAGGGCCGCTGTGAACTTAAATGCACTTCTCAAAACTGTCACACTACTGGTACCAGCCTTGAAGGCACTCGAGCTTCTTTCCTGGCTCAATCTTCAGTATTCACGTGTTATGCTTTTAGAGCACAGCTCCTGCACATGTCCTGCAGAGCCAGTCTTCACTGGCCAGATTGCAAAGCACCTAGCTTATATAAACATGCTATTAAGGACCTATAAACTATGCCTTGTTCCACTAGAACTTTTCTTGAAGAGCCTGATCAGGTAGGTATTTCCAGCATATTCCTTCTGACATTTTCATGAATTCATTTCTGACATGTCAGGAGTCCCTACCCTACGTATGATGCTAGAGAACAGGCATCTAAAATCAGGGCTGACAGCCTTGTACCAGAAGGCAGGTGTCCTGTGGACATTTAGGCAGTTTTCATCCTCACAAGAGGGCAAACCAGCCAATTAATACAGAACATCAGCAGCTGTGCAGTTCCACTTCTACCTGTAAATCTGCAGTAGCTGTGATTATGGCTTTGATGCTTCCCCACATAATATTCCCTGTTTCTATTGTTGTCCAGAAGTACTATAGTGTCACAGCAGCCTGTAGATGCAAAGAGCATGAAATGAAACACATCTGCAGATACCATGGCAGGCAAGCAGCAGAGAGAGAGCTGGAGTCCATAAAGGAAGAGGTAAGCTTCTGGTTCTGGTTCTGATTAAAGGTTATTCCTTCCTTTGCCATGGAACAATTGTAATCCATCTACTGCCTGTGACACACTACTGTGTGTAGGTTGGCATTATGGACACAGGAACATCTGGACTGATCTAAGCCTTCTGTTGGGTGGGAGAAGGGCAGAGTAACTTCTGGTGGCACCAGTGTCACATCAGTCCTTTTGCGGAGGGGAAAATTTCATGTACATAAAAGTATCCTCTCACTTGGGCTGAATTTGCCTTGTATGTTGTATCACTAGAAAACAGGATCTTTTTCTTTCCAGAGGACTGAAGCTTCTGCAGCACCCAGTAAAGCTCAAACTTGGCAGCAACCTGTAAGTTTATAGAATAATTTGGTTTTCAGTGCAGGCACTTGATAGCATTTCTTTATCATTTTGCATCAAGGTGGGTAAAAATTGTGACAGATGTGGAAACTTTGATGGCACAGAAAATTAATTGGTGGTGCACTCACAATCCTAATGTATGTATAGGCAGTAAAATGAGCATACAGAGACTTGCACAATTAATTAGAAACCACATTGTGGCATCATGGCATGTGACCAGAGTCTGGAGCAGTTGGACTGGTAAGAATGTCAAACATTGATAAATCTCAAGGCTTTTTTGAATTGCATCAGCAGCAATAATGCAGCAGTTCTCCAGACTCACCCACTTGTGCTCCTGACACAGTGCCTGTGCCCAGGAAAGGTGTGCAGCAAGGCACACAGTAGCTGCTTAGCCACTTAAGCTTAGCCCTTACACAGGCTCTCTGAAGGCCCCTGTTCCTCAAGGGGAAGAAAACTGTTCTCATTTTTCAAAGCCTAACACCTCACCGATTTCAGGAACTTATAAGCCACAAAAGGTGTGAAACACAGACTCTGTCCCACAGTACCAACTTAGTTGGAGTGCCCTTGTTATATAGATGCTTTCCAGGTTTATGTTCAAAACTGTCTAGGCTGATAACTTGTTTTCGTGAGACAGAGATTACAGCATGGTGATTACTTCCACTCATTGAAACAGTGGATGAAATACTTTGAATATGGTACTTGCTAATTTTTGTACTGACAGAAACATTTTACAGTTTCGTCCATGCTGCCTATATATATTGAAAAATATTAGTACATTTATATAGCAGCTGAAATGTAATTGCTTTATCCAAATTTGTAATTTTCATTTTTGTGGGACATCTCAGATGACTAACCAGTAATGAAGGTTTTTGGTTTTTTTCCCCTCTTATAGACCAGACAAGCTTCCAAAGACATCTACATTGAAGTTTCTCCTGGCATCTATTCTGTCACAGCAATCTCAGAGGACATGGTGCAACAAACCCACGTAGTAGATGTCAGTGCAGAACAAAGTATTGATTTAACATTTTTTCTATGATGTCTTTTGGCAATCACGTGAATAAAATATGAAGCTCTTTTTAATGCATGTAATGAACTATATATATCTTTTTCTTGTTAGCACTTTATAGTAACCTCCTCTTTGGGGTTCTGTTTTTATGGCCTGCATATTTGTTTTCTACTTCTTGCAATTATATGCAGCCCACTTTGTACACTGATTTTATAAATATTTGTACACTGTGTGCCTTTTAAATCCAATTATGTGACTGTAATTCCAGATTCTCCTGCTTTAAAAAATTAAAAGATACAATCAACAGAATAAAATACATAATCAAGTCTTTGTAATGACAACTTATTTTATATTAGCCTCAGACAGAACCTCCACATCACATTGTTGACCACAGAGATCATGATCCATGTGGTATGAAGATGGATGTACATTAGCTTCTGCAGGCTGGCACTGATGTTACTTTTATTATGCTGATAAAGAAACAAAATGCAAATAAAATCCACTATTTAGGACCCCAACTCAGAAAGGTGCTTGAATAACAAAACTCCCTGGATGCTTAACCTTCCCAAGGATCAGATTCCATGTTTAGAACTAGTGATGTGACCTATATAGACCTGTCACCTTTTTGTAGCTGCTGGTATTTTCTGGTTTCAGTTAATTTTCATTGGAATATAAAATTCAGTGATTTGCATGTGGATCTCTAAGCATTTTGATGTTTGTATCTACAGTAGCAGGTCCTTTACCCTCTGGCTACTTCTTCTGCTGAAAAAAAACATATTTCAGCTGTCAGCTTGTATTGTTTCTCCATTTCTTCTGGCCTTCTACAAACAGAAATTGCTAAACTGAATTCTTCTGGCTCACTCCAGAGAACTAGACAAATTGGAGGTTTATTGTACTCTTTGCTTTTAGACCTTTAGTGCTCAAACTAGTTCATCCAATCTCTCCAGAATTGTAAAGTCAAGTCCAAATAGTTATGAATTTAATATAACACCTTGGAGTAAAGAATGAGGATGCTGAAGTTTGATGTGGGTGGAAATAGTTTCTCAGTTACTGAAAATATAGTCATCCATAAAGATATTCTACTGAGACAGTACCTAAATCAGAACTTGATTTGCTTAGTAAGTGTAACACTGACATAGTATAAGCAGTTTACCTGAAATTTCAGCCCCTGACCTGAATGTTTACCTGAAATTTCAGCCCCTGACCTTCATCAGTTGTACAGGTACTGAATTCTGGCTGATCATGTCACACTCTGCTTTGCTGCAAGTGAGCTCTGACATGGTCTGTAACATCAAGTTTGTCATCTCCAATGCAAGTTGCTTTACATTTATCATCTGATGCTGGTTTATATCTTTGTTTCTCTGATGCTGCTAAACCTTCCTGGAGAACAGAAAACAACCCCCTTGGAAGTCTAGTCTAAAAAAAGCACCAGAGTCTTTGTTAACTGCTGCTTTCCTGGCTGTACCTCTGCATCACATGGCTTTAATAATGGTATATTTTCTGTGCTAGTACAAACTTTACTGCTGAAACACAGACTTGTACAGTAAGACCAAAGGGTTTTCAGAAGCTGTTAGGCTTTGATTAAAAACTTTGCTACTTTAGAAGTTAGGAGGATTTCTGTTGACTGCAGTGAGAGGACAGCAGCCCCCTGGAGAGCACCTCTGGGAAGCCAACTCCCTAGCTTCACTTGTGTGTTGCAAGTCACTGCTGATGCAGTCTGCATCACATGATAAAACTGCTTCAGCTATCTCAAAGAGTAGCAGTGTATCTTGTGGATTTAAAATCACCAAGGGCTATTTTACAGGAATGAAAGTATGTCATTATAGTCTGTATTGCCAGATTGCATCCAATACTGTGACTCATGCTGCTGGTTTGTGGCTAGAATGAAACATTCTGGTTTCTTATTAGTTCTACCAAAAGGCAAATCATGTCACTTCAGAGCACAATTATGACACTTGCTAACATAGAGTACGTCTGCCTGGAGCTCCATACTGGCCTCAGAATTCTTAGGAAGTCAATTACAAAGGTGTGTGATTATGATTATTTAAATAATCACGTAGAATAGAAATGGAAAGTAGGAACCACACAGTTAATAAGCTGGAGGGCATCTGCTTAAAATGAATCCATATGATTGTGAGAATACCAGATATATTCCAGTATATTCTCTGTTCAAAGATATGTCATTAACAGACTCATCTTCTCCTAAACATGCAAGTGTAGCACATTCAAAGTTTCACTTTGCAGTCAGCTCACAGCAGCAAGAGATGAAGGTGCAGAGGAGCTAATATTTGATTTCTGATACATGTATTATTGATTGTTCCCCAATGCTCTTGTACAGTGCACTGTTTCTGTTGATCCTGATACTGTCTTTCATCTTCCTCTTTTTCCTTTAAGCTTTTTTCTTCCTCTTCTGTGCTTGCATATTTTAGCATTCATATTCTGATTTTTTTCACGCTTTTCTGAAGCCCAAGGGGACCATGCCCAACAGAAACCAGGCCTAAAAATCAGGGTGTCATCCTTGTTCCTAGCTGTAATAGTTTGCTTACTCTGAATCTCCCAGCTTCAGGGTAGGGATATGCTGATTAAACTGCTTGCATCTTGCAAGAGAGTAAGAAAAGATGCTCAGCAAAGACTGTTTACTAAAGCATCTGCTTTTATCTTTTGGAGACAGAGATTGTGACTATCAGAATTTGACTGGCAGAACTCAGCACCTTTCCAAATTGAATCTCCTTTTGTTTTACTGCTGCTGACAGTCACATCTGTCCATTTCCAGGGCCATTCATGTAGGTCTCTACTTCCATAGGACGTCATTAGGCTGATGTCAATGGACATTTTGGCAGGTTTCTAAATTGAAATCTGCATTATTAAATGCTCACACAGTTATTGGTTATTTCCATTTTACCAAGAAGCTTCAGCTCTTCCTTAGGGATTGGGGATTTTTGTTTTGTTTTAATTAGTGGAGAAGTTTCCTGCCTATCACAAAGCTGGTGGATGGCCTGAGGAAGCAGTTAAGTTAGAAACAATATATTTTTCTTGCCAGCTTCCAGACCATTAAAAAGAATCTTTTTTCCATTCAAATAAAGTGCATGTTTACATGACTACAGTACTAATACAGATTACTTTACCCCCAATGATGGCTTGAAATCCTGGTCTCCTAAGGTTTCTTTCACCTCTGGGAGATTGCTTGACGATTTCAGACATTGCCCTTGGATTAATTGGGGCCATATGGGACATGACCCCAGTGGAGATGGCTTTGGATTCCAGCCTGCCCTTTGTACAGGTGCTGCTGCAACTGCTGAGTCCTGGGAAGGAGGAAAATTGTATCTAAGAGCGAAATCAGAACTGAAATGGAGAAACATTCATTTCAGAAGAGAGAAAAATGCACTTTGAGCTTGAAAGGAATTTTTTTCAGACTCTTCTTCAGGGACTAGCTCTGCAGGTTAATTAAGATGTTGGCATCATAAAAGGCATAGGAAAATGATGGGAAACAGAGAGGGATATCTGTGCTTCCAAACAAAATTAATTTTCTGGTAGTTTTCCGTGGGATGAGTTGCCAAAAGAAGAGCTAGCATGCCAGAGGAGGCAGCAGAAACACTGCAGAGGAGGAAGTATGGTATCAGAGACTGATAGGCAAATTTACAGTGTTAATGCCAGTAACCAACAGGCAAAGTGACTGCCCTGCCCAGAAGACATTTGGTTTTGTTCCCTCAGACTGCTGCTTCCCTGGAGTGGTGTTAAAGGGTATCTGAATTACTAGAATGGGACTTGTGATGGCTTCTTTTCCAGTATTTCCACTCAGGTCTTGCAGAATCCTTTAGCCTGGCCTTTTCAAGACAGTCAGAGCCTGTGTTAACAGCATTGTGCACCATGGTACTCTTAGCAGGGAAAGGCTTCAGGTCCCACTGAATCAGAAGGGAAGATGTTGCCACAGCTGCAGCTTCTTGTTTTGTGCCTTTCAGTTCTAGAAGGCATGGAGAGGGATCACTGCTGGACTCTGCCTCTTCAGATCTGTTCTGAAAGACCAGAGACTGGGATGGAAGAGGCCACCAGACATCACCATGCAGATGGCAGCAGCAGGTGCAACTTACACATGCTGACAAACAGCATATACCACTGTCACAGTGGTGGTGAAAGTGTGGCCAGCAGGGTGAGCAGAGCAAGCAATGCTTCATGAAGCTACATACAGCACAAATAGGAATCAGGGGAAAAATACAAGAGTTAAGAGTCCCACCTTTCTCTGGGCTTCACCCTGCTGGTGAGGGGCATGAGGATCATTTCTGCAATCTTCTCTCACAAGCTAGGAGTGATCCACAGAGCCACACTTTCTTGTCATTCCATAACTGGACCATAAACTCTTCATTTTCTGAGGCTGTTAAGAGAAAAAGTAAGCAGCCATAAGCAGGTGACCTGCCCGGGCAGTGCATATACATAGATCAGGCTTTGTAGCTTTATGCACTTTCTACTCCTATCAAGCAGCAAAATCAACTCTTGCTCCTCTCTAACACCTCACTGTAATGTCACCGAGGGTGGAGTGGGCAGCTAGGGTGGTGTCATTGAAACGACAGGCCTGGCAGCATCTTTCCTCTCAGTTTGTCATCAGACGAACAAGAAAACGTTGACTGAGTAATTTTTGTTGTTACTGCCAAAGTTAGCAGTAATGTTCTCTGAGAATAGTATTTTGGTAAGTCAGTGAAGCTTGACTGTCAGACGTGAAGAAATGAATGAGCTGTTGAAATCTTCTATGTTTGGGTGATAAAATAACCCCCCAGATGTACCATTTGGTGCAAATGTGAGCATTTAAGCTCAGATGAATGCTTCCCAAAAGTTGTCTCACTTGTATCCCTCACAAAAAGGCCACAGTCCCACCCATGGAAGACACAGCCTTGTCCCAGTGGACCAGGAAACAGTATATCCACAGACACAGAAGATGACATTTTTATGGGTCGCAACTTCCTTAGGGTCAAGACTGGTGAGGTTACACACAGATCTCCATCAGCAAGTCCCATCAGGCTCCTGCAAGCTTTAAGCAACACTAAACTGTAGTCTGTGCACTGTTATTCCTTTGGCAGCAGCACTGTGACAAGAATTTATCCTGACAGTCTCAATCATAGTCCAGAGCAAGATGAGGGGGAAGAGGGCAGCACCTTTCTTGCCTCATAAGGGGTCCCTTTTCTCAATACCTGAGGAGAGTTCCTGGGCTGTATCTGGTCATATCTGGCTCTCAGGGTGTTAGCACTTTGTCTCCAGGCTGTGAGGAATGTTTCATCCTATTCATATATTCCAGGATGTCATCCTTTGCTGTTTTTTGCACACACACTGGATGCCTTCCATGTGACACCAGTGGTTTGGCAACCTCTACCAGGAACATGACCCTTTCACTCTGTTTCCAAAATAACAGTTCCACTGAAAAACAGTCCATAATGTGTCAGGTCATGCAGCCTTCAGTAGGCAACCATCCTGTGCCTGTGTGGCTAGGCCAAACAAGCCTGAACAGTAGTTAAATAGTGTGCAGTGTAAGTCCAGCATTGAGACAGCCAGAAAGCCTCCATGAGGCTCACCAGAAAGCAGGATGAGTGAAGCATATGTACAGATTCACTGCCACTAGGATCTGTATTTTCTTTCCCAAGAGATAAAACTATAGACAAGTGTTAACTGGATTTCACAATCCACACTGTGTGTGCCAAGTAACAAGGGACATTGAAGTGATTCAGACCTGTTCTTCAGTCATGCACAAGTCCTTCCTCATTCCATGCAACACTAACTCTGCTTCCTGGGGGACTTGTGGGAATTTTTTTTTCTTTTACATTTAGGCCTGTCAAGAGGCTTTCCATCAACAGTGAAATGAGCTACTTCCCTGTTCTTGAGAAAGAATAGGCTTTTTTGTGTAAAGTTTGAAGTGCTAACAAACAAATAAATTAAAGCTTTCACTGACATTTCTGGAAAGACCCTGAGCCACTGGTCTGTAGCTGACTCAAGCTGGACATGTGTAAATAAAACATTAACCCTTTTCCCATGCTGTTGATGGTTATGTGTCTACACACAACAGCAGCCTGTACACTGCAGTGGCAGAGGCTGCCTGAGCCTGGCTCAGTGCCCAATGACAGCAGAAGCAGAAGGCTACTCTTGCAA